GCCCACTTGACACCCGTCCGATAGTGCAGACAGATTTAGGTGTATCCCCTGCAGCGTGTTCGTCGGTTCTATCGGCCCGGCAGCTAATCGTTCGTTGCTCGACTCCTCTATCGTGGTGTAATATGGGGTGATGCCGAACCTTGCAATCGTCTTGAAGCTCGACTCCTCCATCGTGGTGTAATAAAGGGTGATGCCGAACCCTACAATTGTCTTGACTTTGGTTCGGTTTCTGCAAAGGGATGCTCTGTGGGTATCGCTCAAGCACACAAAGCAGGACTCTCTTTTAGCTACTGCCCAGCGGTCCATCAACTTCATCTTCAAAAACTCTGGGCAGTCAACAAGCTTGGGGACACCTATGCACATTTTGGTTGCGTGTCATATGAGATTAAGTTGGTGCTCGCCCAGTTACGTGGGGTAGGGGAACCTCGCGATCCAGGCGGTGTAAAGTTGGTTGAAGGCCTGGCGGTTCTGATGCTTTCCTTCGCCATTTGACCGAATCGACTATTTGCTATGCGAGATTGACAACCTATGAATTGTGCCAGTTCGACGTAGGTTGCCCCTCTATTCCTATTCTCGAACTCAAACTCATTGTCGTAGATCCGTGGTAGGGTTTGTTTACTCATTTCTTCGCCGTCGTTGGTGGTGGTTAAGTTAATTGACAATGGTTTGCGGTTGGCCGAATGCGGCGGTCCAAAGGATGTCCACCCGAAAATGGTGCGAGCAGCTTGGGGTTCTTTCCTGCTGCCCAGTCTCTGGTCTAGCAACCGGTGTGCTTTTGGCACGTCACTTCCTATTCACAAATCGATCTCAGGAGAGTCGGTTTCTTCCAAATGTAAGTCTCTCAGGTGTGTCCAGCGCGTTACCAGTTCCCCGATCGATTCTACCGCTCGCATTGGCATATCGTCCATGATGAAACCCTCCGTCACCTCAACACATTCACCACTATCTAGTGACACCAACGTCACGCTGGTTTGATCGGCGGAAGAAGCTATGGTACCGTTCATCGTGCTGATCGTTAGGAAAGACCGTCTGGTTGCGATATGGTTCTTCACAGTGAAAAGCTTAGTGATTGGAGTGGTATCGGATCCATTGTCTATCGGTTTTTCATTGGTGTAGGCACCGTGCCATTTATGATCCTCGTCTAGCTTAGCGCACTTTTGTGAGAAGTTTGAACGATCCGACAAGAACCGCCCCCAGGTCTGTTTCATGTTTAAATACCGTCAGTGGCACCGAATTGAGGTAGTATCTGCTGTCCGTTCCTCCCCTGACTTGTACTACATGGCATTTTGACTGGTTTCAGAGGAGACAATTTCCGATTCACCACCGTCGGATCGCATCTAGGTTACGTTGGAGAATTACTCTGTCCTCCTCGTTTCTGATACTGCGACAGATCTTGACGTCATCCGCGTACAAGAGACACTTGGTTGTTACTAGTTCCGCCAAATCGTTAGTAAAGAGTATGAAGATCAGTGGACCTAGTATAGATCCCCGTGGTACTCCATTTAGGATCATTTGGTGGCTTAAAAGCTCCCTGTTGACCCTCACATGATAACTACTATCATCTATTTAATCTTTTAGTCAGATTAACAACCTTCCCGCAATCAATGAGTTTGTCGTATAATGTTCGTTGCGGTACCTTGTTGAAGGCCCTGTAGAATTCTAGAAATATAAAATCCACGCTAATCCCCATGTCGGCTACTTAAGTTCAACCGTCTATGGCCACTAGGAGGTTTGTTAAGCATAAACCGGCCTTTGCGAAATCCGTGGTGCTGTGGATTGAAAAAGTTCGCGAGTCGAGAAAATTCTCTTATTCCACCGTCTATCATGCTTTCCATTACTTTTGAAAGAACGGAAAAACAGATACCGGACGACAGTTTTCGACGTTTGTGCGAGATCGCGATTTGTATATTGGAGTTACAAGGCTACCTGTCCAATCACACGGGAGTTTTTTGGTGTTCATGGGTGCCGTAAGCAGTTTTGCGAGGGGGGCACTTAGAACCCCTGCACAGTTTTTGAGAAGGACCGCCGGTATGCTATCCAAGCCCAGAGATATGTTCGGGCGAAGGTTACGCAGTTTGGCCTCAACAATGGCTCTGTCGAAATGTATAATGGACAGTACACAGTACTTCGGTTGGATTAGGTGAAGCATAGTCGACTGGCTGTTGTTTCACGCAAAGTTGATCGCTTTCGAAGTGCGCGGCTAAGGTTTCCACGGCTTCTAAGTTAGAGGAGCTTTCAGTATTTCCCGTTTCTATCCTACAAGCCGCAAACATGTTACATGTTTCATGTAATTGCTTTAGGCTGCGAAAAAGA